TTTTCTTTCTACTTTGGAGTAAAGTACAAGCATTGCCTTAAGGGCAAAGAAAGGGAAGGATTTCTCAAAGGAAGCTACCAAGTACAAAATGAAGACTTGTCTTTTAGCATAGGGCCAGATGAGAAACAAGAATCCAGACGGAATGTGTCTGGTAAGGAAACTGTTGGGGGAGGGGAGGTGGCTGAATCCAGAAGAGACTCAGCTACTCAAGAGAGAGAAAAACTGATTTCTCAGTACACGGTCACAGTACTGAAAGCCTCAGTTAACCTCCATTATGCTCCCAGGTATGTACCTAACAGATCTTGCATATAGTTTCATCAAAAGACTTGAATAGTGTTCACAGTAGCACCAGTCATTATAGCCAAAAAACGGACGCTCCTCAAATGCTCATCAACATAACTATGGATAGTCACCTCATGACTACTACATGACAATAAGAATCAACTATAACCACATCCAGAACTATGCAAGAATCTCACATATGCAGTAATAAAGCCAGATCCAAGAGAATATTCTCTATGATTCTTTTACATAAAGTTCAAATATAGGCAAATTAAACTATGGTATTAGAATGAGGATATTAATGGTTTTCTTGGGAGGAAGGTAGAGACTGCGAAGGAAAGAGTATCCGAGGTTATGGTATTATTGTTTCTTGATGTGTATATTAGGTACATGGATATTTCCATGATATTCATAGAGTACGTTCCTCTACCTATGCTATTCTCCAACAACAGTGGTTCCCTGAATGGTGACATTTCAGTCTCAGAATCAAAGACTAAACTGATTTGGGCGGGGGAGGCCCTTCTCTCCCTCCTCCTCTATCACTCTCCATTGCTTTGCAAAGCTAGTTTCTAACCCTAGAAACTCATTGATCATTGTAAGCCATGCTTTGCTCACACAACAGAGAGTTGTGGGCACCCTGAACTGGGTAACCTAGGAACAGTGCCTTGTGAGGAGGTGGGAAGGGAGTCTAGAGATTTGAAACCTACTCCCCAGGCACAAGCTAACAGTGATGTACAACAGACTTCGGCAAACAACCCTACTCTGCTGCTGAGCTAGAAAGGCAGGCAGCCAGCCAGGCTCAAAGCCTCAATTCCCAGTATTCATTCCTCAGAGGCAGTATCCGGCATTAGGGAATCCCTCTGGGTTTAAATCCTTGCCTTAACTGCTGACTGCTCCAGTGACCTCATGCCAAGTCCCTCATCTTACAGCTAAGGGGAAAACACCATCACCTGCTTTGCAAAGCAGTCAGTCATAAGCTCAAAGGTAACTAATATCAGACTGTAAGCTCCCCAAGGGCAGAGACTTAGTTTTGTTCATTGCTTTATAGTTGCAGTTCTAGAACAGTGCCTGATACATGCAGATGCTAAATATATGTTTACTAAAAGAATAACATGTAAATAGAGGGCATAGGCCAAAATGAGGGCTCTGAAACAAAAGGCAATTTTATACAACTTGAAATAAGCAAAACCACCTTGAAGTTAACTCATGTTCAGTCAGATTCATTACTGAACTTTGAAGTTACCCAAACTCTGACTAAGAAGGAGTTGAACCTGCTGAGGGACCATATGAAGTACTGGGTTTCTTGTACTGTAATTAATCTGCCTCTCTCAATGGTTTGCCATTAAGGATGTATAGACCACTTTAGGTCACTCACTTTTTTTTTTTTTAATCCTCACCTGGGGATATTTTTTCCATTGATTGTCATACAGAGTGGAAGGGAGGGAGGGAGAGAGAGAGAGAGAGACAGAGAGAAAGAAACATCAGTGTGAGAGAGACACATCAATTGGTTGCATCCCATACGACCTGGGACTGGAGTCAGATACAGAACCTGCAACCCAGGTACATGCCCTTGACCGCAACAGAACCCAAGACTCTTAAGTCCAAGGGCATAAACTCTAACCACTGAACCAAACCAACCAGGGCATAGTCACTCACTTTGAATCACTACACTAATATGCAAATCCTTCCTCCTACCTCTCCTTTGTCTTTGCTTCCAGATCGTATCTGAAGGAATGTAGACCCCACACTATGGGGCTGGGATGAGAGAACATTCCTGCTATCTCCATTTCATCCACCTCCCACTTCCTGGTAGTAAAAAAATACCAAATGCCAGGGGACTTGGGAGTCAGAAACTTCCATTCCAGTACCAGCTGGTTACTGACTTTAGTGAAGACATAACTACTCGGGTTTCACTGGTAAAATGGGCAGACTCTTCACAAAATTGTCATGATTCGTGCAAATATACACTGGGCATCCTATTAAGTACCATGTCCTGAGCATAAATCTACAGGTAAAAGTCATGTCCGAGATGCTCAAGGAAGCTCATGAGCTGTTTATCCAAGTGAATTGAATCCATTTAACTGTTCCTCCATTTCTCCACCTTTAAAATCTCCAGCAGGCCCTGGCTGGTTTGGCTCAGTGGTTAGAGCATCGGCCTTCAGTCCAGAGAGTCCCAGGTTTGGTTCCTACTAAGGGCACATACCTTGGTTGCACTGGTTGGGATCGTGCGGGAGGCAACCACTCGATTTATCCCTTTCACTTCGATGTTTCTCTCTCTCTTCCTCTTTCTCCCTCCGACTCCATCGGAACAAAAAATGGAAAAATGTCCTCAGGTGAGGATAAATAAATAAATAAATTAATTAATTAATTAAATAAAATCTCCAGCAGGGTTGGGCTACAGGTTTTCTGAAGTCCCAACTCAGATTAAGAGCTGAAGTTGTTTAATATTTACCTTACCAGCTTCAAGAGAATGTCAGCAGGATTTAGCAAGTTCAGGGTTGTGGAAATGCTTTGAAGAAGAAAGTGCACATACAAACAAGGTATTAATTATATCAGATAATTTCTTTGAGCTCAACTTCATAGACACCCGTGATATTCATAACCCAGGGGAGAACAGCAGGGGTAGTTGTTCCTTGGCAATATGGAAACTGTTGTAAGCGTGGCCAGATTTGACAGTTTGTATGTCCCCTCAGGATACCCTTTCAACAGGGCTGGATCCATCCTGTGTATTGAGGGTGGGGAACTGAGGTAGAGGTAGGGAGGTAGAAAGATGTCAGCAGCTGAGGACTAAGGGGAGAAATAAGCAATATTTTTTGTTGAGGAGTCCTAATTTATGGGATCAACAGGCCCAGAAATTTGCTTTTACTTAAAGAGGCAGCAGCCTATCTCACAGGAAGACTGCTCTAATAACTAGTCATGTTGTAGAGAGGCGTAAAGTTAGCCAAGCATATGAACCCATCCTTTGTTTTATAACCCAGGTGTGCTCCTGGCATGAACCCACCCTTTTCACAATCATAAACCACACATCCGAGAAAGCAGAATTTTCTCAAAAGGTTTAAAATGCCTGATGTCACCAGGAAGCACTCGCCAACCAGACCATGAAATCAAAAACCTGATTACTGCTCCCCCCCCACAACCTCAAGCTTAGTGAAGTGACAGTTAACCTGATAGTTCTTGCTTCAGTAAGAAAGATAAGGCAGACAACACTCAAAGCCATAGCTTGCTCTCCAGGAGTGTAGTCAAAGAACTTGACAATGAGGGGGAGGGGTACAGATTTGGCACTCAGGTTAGCAATAAGACTTCCTCGGGGAGCCGGAATTGGATTTGGGGCCCTGCCCAAGTTAACATTTTTACAGGTTGGCTGAGCTGCAGTTTGTTAGCCAATCAGTAATAAACCTGTGCGCAAGAATTTAAAGTTTATGAGGCATGGCCTCTTAATTCCTCTCCTCTGCTCCCTACAGCCAAGAGTTTAAGGAGCCTGCCCTAGCCTGAGTATTAATTGTTTTTGTCAATCTGCAGAGTTATTTAGGAAAAGGCGGGCGGGGAAAGGCTTCCACAGGCTCAAGCCCCTGAGTATGTTTTGGAGAAACAAAGGAGAGCCATTCTGTCCTCTAGGCATCAGTACTCCTACGTTCAAACTGTGGGAATTTGTACCTGGGGTGAGGGGTATGCTGATGGGGACTGAGAAAAATGCTAGGTGGAAGCATTTCTTAAATGTTTTGAAAACCAGGTAAATGGCAGATCCCCTCCCAAGAAAAATGCATACAAAAGTTCTTAAACGATTTTACAGGTTAAGAATCCTCCGGAACTCCACTCAACTATCCTGAGTTACACCTCTGTTTAAGAAATTGGTTTTGGTCTGGTGAAGAAGCAACAACCCCCTCCTCCTGGTGGAGGGAAAAAGACCCCCATCAGCCGCACGCAGCTGCCTGGATGTCATAACACACTGGTTCTCCGCACCAAACTGATCCCCACCCCCACTCTCAAGTGTTTGAACTAAAGGGGGTAAACAAGTAATTGGGAGATCAAAAATGTGCTTTGATCTCCCATCCACCGCCCTCAGCTCAAGACCTTCCGGCTTGGGACCCCCACTTCCCCAAGTGCCCTAACATTCCAGTCCCAAGGCACTGGAGGGGGTGGTTCCCAGTGTGAAGGCCTCAGCCCAGGTGTGTCAGCCCCAGTTTCTAAGCAAGCTACAGGGGCGCAGACCCTCCGGGAAGGGCAGGGTTAAGAGTGCATTCCAGCTGCCGGGGAAGGAGGGAACGGGGGAGGGGAGCGCGAAGAAGAGAAACAGACCCGGTCTGTCTGTCGGAGACACAAAGCACGGTACACAAAGGGGGCCTGAGAGGGGCAGAAGGGGCTGCCCGGGGCACAGTTCATCCCCACACCTGCGCGGGGGCTGGGGGGAAAATGTGAATGGCGCATTCCTCAGCTGGGGGCAGCTGGGGAGAGCCTCCCACATACCCACTGGGTGAGGAGCTCAGCAGCCTGGTAAGCAGCCGCAGCGGGGCAAGGAGGGCCTGGACGTCAGAGGGCGCTACGCTCTCCGGTGTTCTCCGTCAGCCGCCCACCTACATTCCAGGCCCAAAGATGCTTTCAGCGCCTTCCCCAAACCTGAGGCGGCGTCAGAGGTCCCCCGCCCCAGCCTCGACACCCCTCACTTGGGCCAGACCGGAGTGGACCACATGTGGTTTCCACCCGCTCCCGGAGGGTCTTACCTTTTTCCAGAGCCTGGCCCGGCTCCAGCTCCGCGCCTCCAGCCTCCAAGGTCACTTCAGCACCGCCGGAGCCCGCCTGGCACGGATCGGAGGCAGTGCACGGCAGCCAGCAAACCGCCTAAAGAAAGAGCGGGGAAAGAGGAGGTTGGGTCACAGGCGTGCCTGGCCCTGCACACCCATCTCCGGGTTCCTTACAGGGCTTTCCAGGATACCATGGCCTCAAGGAGCCCAGCCACGCCGACCCTCTCTCTACGACTCCACCACCGCACGTGGACCTCGCCCGCCCTCCGGGGAGCGTCCCGGCCAGAGCAAGGGCTAGGCAATAGGGTACCTGAAGTAGGAGGGAGAGGCGGAAGAGGAGGGAAGCAAGAGACCCACTAGGACGCCCCATTGCTGGAAAGAGGGTTTAGGACGCTGCCGCGAGAGCGGGATATTACTCCGCTAAGCTCTCTGCGCTGCTTTGAGAACCGTAGCTCCCTGGAGCCTGCGGGAGGAGGCCAGGTGAGAGCAGGTAGGTGCTGATTGGTCCAGCGCCGCAAAGTCCCGCCTCCCTCGCAGGTGGGGCGGTGGCTGGCGCTGTCCAGGCACCCTCCAAGCCCACTTGTCCTTCCTCCTGCGTTCTCTAGTCTTCTCGGGAACCGCTCTGGGCAGGGACTCAGCCGTCTCACAGGTTCTGGGTTCAATAAACGAAACGAAACAAAACAAAAAATCCACCCCACTCTTAAGCCTCTGCGGCAAGCAAAGAAAAATGTGTCTGGGTCTTAAGAAAAAAAGTGGAGAAGCGCTCTGGCCGGTTTGGCTCAGCGGTTGGCGTGTCAGCCTGCGGACCAGAGTCCCAGGTTCGGTTCCTGCTAGGGGCACGTACAAAATAAAATAAAGTAAAAAAAAAAAAAGTGGAGAAGCAAGCAAACCTGACAGGAAACAGAGGCGCCCCATTCATGCTCCCCAGAAGCGCTGTTAAGCTTTGATGGAGGCGGGTGTGTCCGCCCCACGCCCTGCGCCTCTACCTCTTTCTCCATCTCCCCCACCAGCCCTCTTGGAGGACTTGGAGGGTTTAAAACTGGCAGTGAGTGGCAAGAGACCGAGTTACAAAATCGGCTGTAATTTGCAGAAGACCCACTGCACAGCAGAACAAATGGAGGCTGGGAGAGATGGTCTTAGAGTTGGGAAGCCGTGGTGGCGCCAAAAGGCACAAGGTAAAGAAGTGGTTATTAGCTCATAGTCTTCAGCAACACCCCACCCCACCCCCATAAAACATAACACTTTCTCAACTTAAATAAAGACATTTTGAAAAAAAAAAAAACCGCGGCTTTTTCTTTATTGGTCAGAAATACTGAATATAATCTAAGCAAAAACTGCCTGCTGCCTAAAGCAGCCTTCCAGTGAACCTTCCTTGAACATAGCGCTCCTTCACCCTTCACGGGAGACAGGCGGCGGACCTGAAGTGCTTTTCTCTTCCGGGCACACAGAAACTGTCCGAAGACTCCGTCGCTCCACTCTACAGGCCTTCTCTTCACCTCCTCGTTCCCTGAGGCCTCTCCCTTTTCTTCTTCCTCTACAGCTCAGATTGAGGGGTTTGAGAAGGAGACTGAAGTCTTTAATTAAAGATTCTTTGGCCCTCAAGAGTTAAGGTGGTGGTCTCCTAGTCTTTCCGACCATCAGGCCTGTAGCAGGCTAAAAGGAGGATCTATTGAGCTGAGAGCCTGGGAGTTCTTTCTCTACCTGAGCGCTGGCTCTGGGGCGTACCACCTGCCTTCCAACACAGGTTACACCACTTACTAGCGCCGTGGACTCAGGCAAGTGAATTAACCCTTTCGAGCCACAGTTCTGCATACGTCAGAAGGGGCTTTACATCTGCTATCTATAGTACCAGGATTAAATGAATTAATACACACAGACGAGGATTAAATTAACACGTTTAAAACGCTAAACTCAGTACCAGGCACAGAGCAAGTGTCCATATGTTTTCTGGTGTTACTGCTTTAGTATCCAGCTCATTGGTCCACTTCCTCCGCCTCGCGGGCCGTTTCTCTCTTTGTAGCACCCTTACATCCCCACAATGAAGAGAAAGAGAAACGCTGTAAACCGTCCATTTCACGGCTCAGGGTATAGCGAACAGTTGGCATCTGATATCACCAGAGCGCTGGGTTATCCGGAGTGTGGTCCCTGCAGGTGGGGCTTGGGGGTACACAAAGCACAGGAGAAACCGGAGGCAGCATGCTGAACTCCGCGCCTCTCTCGCCTCGCTCGCAGGCTGGGGTCGCTTTCCGGGCGGGAGGGAAGGTAGTACCGCAGAGGGACACCGTGGTCTGGCAGGTCCCAGAACGTACGTAACCCAGGCCCCGCTTATCCTTGCCTCGCAGGTTCCCCTTTGCCGGCCAGGAGCTAGATGAAGCCATTAGGCGGACGGTTAAACACAAACGAGCCTCGGGATACAGGCCCTAATTAAGTAAACACCCGGCTGGAGGGCTGTTGAGCGCACTCATTTCCGCCTCCTTCCAGGGCACTCAGCATTCCGGGCGGAGGCGGGGAGAGGAGAGGAGAAATTGAGAGTCAGCTCTTCTGCCTGCAACTTGGACCACACTGCGGTCTTCTCCGTAGCTCCTTTGTCGATCTTTCATGCATTCATTCGTTTAACAAATAATTGCCTGCTATGTGCCAATCACAGGAGATGCAATAGTGAACAAAAGAGACAAACATCCCTGCACCCTTGGACCTTCCATCCCAAAGTGCAGGGCATCGAGGAAAATAAATAAGTAAATATATATTATGTTAGATAATATGCGCTGTGTAGAGAATAAGGACAGGATTGGAAGTGCCAATTCACAGGACAGAAGATAGGGTTGGTCATTGTAAATAAAGTGATTTAGAAGGTGTGTGGGTAAAGGTCTAGCAGAAGACAATCCAGTTTGGTTAGGGGGCAGTGGTATTCAAGTCTTAGTGAAGGGGCTAGACTAGGAATGGTCAGGGTTCAGGGAACCAACTAGAGTGTTGAGCAACAGCAGAAGGGCATTACAACTTTGAGGCTGGAAGGGCAAACGGAGGAAATGGTGTCACTGGAAGTTGGGTTTGGGAAGGAGCTGGAGAATGAGGACCGACCACCCCTTCCAAATGCAGCTTTGGTCTAGGAGAGGTAAGGCCACTGCCTGGAGCAGAGCAGGGAGCAGAGTAGGGAAAAAATACCCAAACATCTTTTTCCTTTTGCCCTTCACCTCCTGGCAGTACCTCCCAGCACAAGAAAGCCCAGATGGTGGAGTCTACAGGGGTCATTCTCCCCAGGCACAGAGCAAGTCAGAGAAAGGCAGAAAATAGATGAGGGGAAGATGAACAACCAGGAAGCCCAGAGGCCTTACTGAGAAATGGACATTTGCCCCAGGCTGGTAGTTCAGTTGGTTAGAGCATCATCCAGACATGCCAAGGTTATGGGTTCAATCCCTGGTCAAGGCACATACAAGAATGCATACAGAAGTGGAACAACAAATCAATGTTTCTCTCTCTCTCTCAAATCAATTTAAAAAAAAAGAGAGAGTGACCGGCTGGTGTGGCTCAGTGGTTGAGCATTGACCCATGAACCAAGAGGTTGGGGCACATGCCCAGGTTGTGGGCCAAATCCCCAGTGGGGGGCATGCAGGAGGTGGCCAATCAATGTTCTCTCTCATCTATGTTTCTATGTCTCTCTCCCTCTCACTTCCTCTCTCTCTCAAATCAATAAAGGAAAAAACCATTTTTTTGCCCTGGCTGGTTTGGCTCAGCGATTAGAGCGTCAGCCCATGGACCAGAGAGTCCTGGGTTCAGTTCCCACTGAGGGTACGTACCTCGGTTGCGGTTTGTCCCCGGCGCTGGTTGGGGTTGTGTGGGTGGCAGCCAGTCGATGTGTCTCTCTCACATTGATGCTTCTCTCTCTCTTCCTCCTTTTCTCCCTCCCGCTCTATCTGAAGATAAATGCAAAAATGTCCTCAGGTGAGCATAAAAAAAGAGTGAGAAATAGACATTTGAACAAAATCTGAAAGAAGTAAAAGAACAAGTTACACTATGGATATCTGAAGAAAGAGTATTACAGGTAGAGAAAATAGGCAAAGCCCCCAGTCAGTGGATAGATTACATGGGACAGGAAAAAAAACAAAAAGGTAATGTGACTGGAGTAGAGTGTCAGTAGGAAATGAGTCAGAGGTGGAGGTGGGGAGCAAATCTTGTAGAGCCTCATAGGCCATTGTAAAAAAAAAAAAAAAAGGCAGAAATTCCAAGACTAGCTAAGAACCCAAGGACCACCACCAAAAAACCAATTTGCACCAAAAATATCCAAGATGGCATCTGAAACTCTTCCCAGGTGACATTTCACAAACTTTTCTTCATTAGCATACTAAAATCACACCCAGGGGTGGAGATTTAACATTAAAATGATACATGTGATGTATATGTAGGCATGTTCCAAACATGTTTAGGAACTGTGTTCCTAGAAATCTTAGAACTCTCCACTTTTTCTCAGGAATTCCCACTCCTGAACCCACTCCCCATCCCCAGACCCTTTAATATTATCCTAATTCCCCAGAATCAAGGAGAAGGAATCCTTAGGCATCTGATTATTCTCCATTCCACAATTTTTTTTTACCTCACCTGAAGGCATTTTTCCATTTTTTGTTCAAATAGAGTAGGAGGGAGAGAGAGGAAGAGAGAGAGAGAGAGGGAAACATCAATGTGAAAGGGACACATCGAGTGGCTGCCACCCACACGACCCCAATCAGGGCCGGGAACAAACCGCAACTGAGGCACGCACCCTTAGCGGGAACCGAACCCGGGCCTCTTTGGTCTATGGGCTGATGCTCTAACCTCTGAGCCAAACCAGCCAGGGCCACAATCATATATTTTTGAGAACCAAACCCGGGTCTCTCTGGACCATGGCCCACGATCTAACCGGTGAGCCAAACTGGCCAGGGCTAGAAGTTGGGGTCGTGTGGATGGCAACCACTTGATGTGTCTCTCTCACATTGATGTTTCTCTCTCTTTCTCCCTCTCTCCCTCCTGCTCTGTCTGAAGATATTTGCAAAGATGTCCTCAGGTGAGGATTAAAAAAAAAAACAATTTAAAAGAAGCCCAGCCAGTGCAGCCAAGTGGATCGAGCGTCGTTTGATGCACCAAGAAGTCACCGGTTCCATTCCCGGTCAGGGCACATGCCCCGGTTGTGGGCCCAATCCCCAGTCGGGGGCATGCAGAAGGCAGTCAATCGATGTTTCACTCTCACATTGATGTTTCTATCTCTCTCTCCCGTCCTCTCTCTCTCTAAAAAATCAATGAAAATATATATGTATATATATATATATTTTATTGAATTTTAGAGAGAAAAGAAAGGAGAGAGAGAGAGAGATAGAAACATTGATGAGAGAGAACATGGATTGGCTGCCTCCTGCATGCCCCCGACTGGGGATTGGACCCACAG